GTGCCTGAGTTTCCAAATGGTCAGTTCGCCCCTGATACCAAGATCCTCACACAGAAATCTAGCAGGACTCCCAGCACCATTATCTGATATTGCTTTAATGTTTATGTGGTTTATAGACTAAGCTGTTAAAGAGTATATCCAGGGGAAGGGAAAGGGTTTTGAATATTTAGATCCTTTGCAGTTATTGCTGCCTGGTGCTCATTTGGGGAGATTTCCCCCACTTCCTGTCTTGATGACAATTGGACAGGAACTCAAAGGAAATCTCCAATATGGACATGGACAACAATAAAAACACATTTTTTTTTTGTAGAAGAAAGCTAGATAGTCCAGTAGGTTGTATTGCAGTCTGCGTTCCCATTAAGGATTTTGTTCACTTGTTATCATTGGGACAGGAAGTTAGAAAAAAAAAGGAACCAACCAGGCCTTACGCATCAGAAATAAACCTGAAAACGTGAGTTGCTTAACTTTAGCCATTCTATACTAAATTAGGAACTAATAAAAAACCTTTTTGGGTTGAAGGTAACACTGATTTTATAGTGTTGGGACGTGCGATACATCCATGCAGTTTGTAGGGTATGCTCCCCTATGTGTTCCTGGTCGTCTTGGTAGGTTAACTGGCTTTAAACCCAAATCAGCCCAGGTATGTGACTTATTAGTCACTGTTGCTTCCCGTTCCATGTGGTTGGATCTATGTACTGTTTAAAGCATTCTTGAGTTTGTTAAAGCATATGTCTGTTAAGGTTCTCATTCATCCAGGTCGTGGTATAAGAAGCAGTAGTTAGCCATTCAGCTGAAATTGTTCTGTAATGCTGAAGATGTTTCATATCTTCTCCAAGAACACAAGTAGTGGCTTGGAGAAGCTACAAAGGGGTTTATTTACTAAAGCTGGAGCGTGCAAATACAGGCTCACTTCTGCCTAAACACCAATCAGCTTCTAACTTCAGCTTGTTCAATTAAGTTTTAGAAATAAAACCTGGAACCTGATTGGTTTCTATGCAGGAGTGAACCTGATTTTGCAAGCTCCAGCTTTAGTGAATAAACCCCAAAATGTCTTCAACATTATAAAGCAAGTCAAGTTGAAGGTGGTTAACTATTACTAGTGGCAAAGAACAATGCATGTACCTATAGCATGTTGAAGAAGGACTTCTGATTAGTTGTTTTTGATTCACAGGATGTTATTTGTGTTGATTGCATTATTGGGTTTTTAATTATTTTCTTTTTTGGTGCTAATTCTGGCTTGAAAAATGTCATGCTTTCTACAATGCTTGATGGTTTAGAATACACAGTGTAAGCTTCATATAATAATGGTAATTTCTCCTATTTTTTTCTTCTACAGTACGGTCGGTCAGATAGTTATCGCGTGGCTACCACGCAAGATAATAAAGACAACGAATCTCCCCAAAAGGCGAAGGGGGTGAAGAAAAGAGATGGATGATCTTAAGAAAGAAGTGGCCATGGTAATCTATCTATCTGTCTGTCTATCTATCTGTCTATCTATCTATCTATCTATCTATCTATCTATCTATCTTTATATCTATCTAATATCTATCTATCTATCTATCTATCTATCTATCTATCTATCTATCTATCTATCTATCTGTCTATCTGTCTGTCTGTCTGTCTGTCTGTCTGTCTGTCTATCTCTCTATCTATATGTCTGTCCATCTATCTATCTATCTATCTATCTATCTATCTATCTATCTATCTATCTATCTATCTATTGTAAATTACATTTTGGCTCCCATGGTTCTCAAGGACCCCAAAGGTGAAATATTATCTCTAGATTTCTCAGAGCTACCCAGATTGTCCCTAATCTAGAATTAGGAGATCTTCCATGATAATGTATCATAGCTACACTATACTCTTTCTTGAAGGAACCCTGTCACCAAGGAACTCAGATTCAAACAGTAGCAGCCTGAAAAAAAGATTACTCATTCTTACTTATCAACACTTCCTTTGTGAAGTCCATGCTTCCTGCTGATTGGATAAGCTCTAGCCCTGACTCAGCAGGGGTGTGTTCCACACAGAGAGCAAGAGTATTTTTCTGCAGCATGCTGGCGGGGGACAGGCCTTTCTACTCTTTCTAATGAGTAGGACTTTGTACACCTTTTATTTTGATGCACATGGAACATATTTAGCTGATTTGAACTGAAACAATACTTGGGCTGCCATACCTAGGCTTCAATACTTTCAGCCAGTAATGCTGATAGGGAGTTATCGGGTCATAATAGCAGCTGATGCCAGGGGCGGACTGACCATTTGGAAACTCGGGCACTGCCCGAGGGCCCGGGGTCAGTAGGGGGCCCCATGAGATGCCCCTGGTACCTTTTTCATAGGCTTTTTTGAGTTTGGGCAAGGACACAGGGGCCCCATGATCCCCTATTGCCTGGGGCCCCATGAGTTGCCAGTCCGCCCCTGGCTGATTCATTTTACTTGGGAGAGGCTTAAAGTATACAGTATGTAAACCCTCACCTTTTAAAACAACCCATTCAGTTTAAAATAGAAGCTAAAGGTAAAACATTTGTGTATAAATATAAAAAAACACTATAAATACCTTTTTTTCTTTTTTTAAAAGTGATCACATACCTTCTGTTCTCAACAGCATAAGAGCTGGGGGAGAGGAAACAGCAGCACACTTGTCTTCCCAGTGAATAGCTGTGCAGGAAAGTGTGTGTGGTGGGGGGGGGGTGTTATCAGGAGAAGTCTGATCATTAGAGGAGAGCACACTGAGTTCTCAGCACAGCTAGAGAACTGACTACGCTATTTTCTCATGCCTAGTGTGGTCAGTTTTTAATAGGAACCCAGGGGAACTGGCTAGAACATCAGGGATTTCACACAAAGGAAACAAAGCAAAGAGAACAGGATAATTTTTTCATACATGGTACAGCAGGCACATATCAGGAAAATGAAATGCTGGGTTTACATATTCTTTAATTGTTTTCTATGCAGAGCAAAGTGGCAGAAGAATGTAGTATACTTAGCGCTTTTAGGGTATATAGGACCATATGTCTACAATGGTATACCTAAAACTACGGTACAGGGGCGGACTGACAACTCATGGGGCCCCCGGGCAATAGGGGATCATAAGGCCCCTGTGTCCTTGCCCAAACTCAAAAAAGCCTATGAAAAAGGTACCAGGGACATCTCATGGGGCCCCCTACTGACCCCCGAGCCCTCGGGCAGTGCCTGAGTTTCCAAATGGTCTGTTCGCCCCTGCTACGGCACACTGTGCGACTGCCATGGGGCTCATTACTATCTGGCTATACAGGGATAAATGCAAGTAACAAGAGCAAATTTAGTATATATAGTTTGGGGAGCCTCAGTATGATTGCTATGAAATCCATTAGCATTCCACTGTATATCTCTGGAGAATTACCCTTTAGGATAGAGATTAGAGAGACAAGAGACCCCTTGATAGGTTTTCTATGTGACCCCATTATACATGGTCGCTGCCCTGATATTGAACTTAGTCTTCCATGTCCTACATGTTACATTGGTTACCTTGGTCATTCGTTTCCCCAGTGTGTGTGTGTGTTCCAGTATGGCGTTCAATGCTGCCGTTATGTGAGCATTGTGCAAAAACTTTTCTCATTCACATTTCTCTTTGACCTCAGACAGAGCACAGGATGTCAGTGGAAGAGGTGTGCCGGAAATACAACACAGACTGCGTCCAGGTGATCCTCTTTTACACACTTTTATTATTAACCTAACATCCTTTCCAATATTATTTCATTTTTTGCCCTTTCCTAGGTTCATCTAAGTACCTGGTAAACCGTAAAGTTGCCCAAACATGTTACAATCTACTTTAGATCAACTAGAAATTGAATGGTAGACATGTGCGATTCATTTCGTTATTAATCAAAATTCGGACGAAATTTTCATTATTTGGAGATTTGGATGTATCCGAATATCGAAATCACAATAGTAATGAATTTAAACAAACCTGAAATAAATGATAACCAAACAAATTATCCAAATTTAAAAATGAAAACATGTTGCAATAAATACAGTAAGGTATAATAGTGAAATAAGATGATGATTCCTATTTAGTTTGTTTTAAAGAATAGAATAGAATTTAATTTAAAGGAATAGAATAGAATAAAACAGAACAGAATAAGATATAAAGTAATAGAATATAAAGAAATAGAAAAGAAAGAATAGAAAATAAAGGAATGGAATTGAAAAGAATAGAATAGAAAAAAAGAAAGTATTAGAATAAAACAGAATAGACTAGAATACAAAGACATAGAATAGAAAATAAAGGAATGGAATAGAAATAGGATAAAACAGAATAGAATAGAAAGGAAAAAAAAGAACAGAAAACATAATAGAAAATAAAATAAAAGAACAGAATATATTAAAATATAATAGAATAGAAAATAAAGGAATAGAATAAAGAACAATAAAATAGAAAATAAAAGAATAGAATGTAAAAGAATAGAATAGAAAAAAATAGAATAGAATAGAACATATATAGCCATTTTTTGAAATTCAAATTTCAAATCCATTTCAATATTCTCATTGATTTAAAAATAATGAATATATGAAACAAATCTGAACATATGAAACTAATTCCAAAAATGAATTATTCTAACATAATGAATATGACATCACTATATAATTAACGAATGGAAACAAAACAAATTTTTCTGTTGTGCCCATCTCTTTTGAATGGATAGTTCAGGTAGGCTCTCCTATGACAGAGATGTCCCAATGTGTGCAATCTACCATTTGGACAAAACAAAAGGTTTGCCATCCTGCGTGCACACAGTAGAATATCATACTAAGGCCAATTTATCTACCATCTTGTCTTTGGATTGCGGAATGATACCTATTCAAGCACAGGGTGAATATGCAAACTCCATGCAGATTATGTCTAAGGGCTACAGACCACACCATACCAGACCAGAGATCATATATCCAGTCATATCCTGCTTGGTAAATGAAAAGCTCGAAGAACAAACAATAGATAGGGATTGAAACATTAAAGTACTACTAAACCCGGGACCCTGCATTCACTATATCCGGTCTCCCTTGGCCCTGCATTCACTATATCCGGTCTCCCCGGACCCTGCATTCACTATATCTGGTCTCCCCGGACCCTGCATTCACTATATCCGGTCTCCCTTGGCCCTGCATTCACTATATCCGGTCTCCCGAACCCTGCATTCACTATATCTGGTCTCCCCGGACCCTGCATTCACTATATCTGGTCTCCCTGGACCCTGCATTCACTATATCTGGTCTCCCAGGACCCTGCATTCACTATATCTGGTCTCCCAGGACCCTGCATTCACTATATCTGGTCTCCCTGGACCCTGCATTCACTATATCCGGTCTCCCAGGACCCTGCATTCACTATATCTGGTCTCCCAGGACCCTGCATTCACTATATCTGGTCTCCTGGACCCTGCATTCACTATATCTGGTCTCCCCGGACCCTGCCTTCACTATATCTGGTCTCTCTCCGGACCCTGCATTCACTATATCCGGTCTCCCTGGACCCTCATTCACTATTATCTGGACTCCCTGGACCCTGCATTCACTATATCTGGTCTCCCCGGACCCTGCATTCACTATATCTGGTCTCCCTGGACCCTGCATTCACTATATCTGGTCTCCCTGGACCCTGCATTTCACTATATCTGGTCTCTCCAGACCCTGCATTCACTATATCCGGTCTCCCCGGACCCTGCATTCACTATATCTGGTCCTCCACAGTACACAGAACATGGAATTGCCATTATTTTAGTAAATATAAACTGCTCAATACCTTTCTCATCAGCAGTATATAGCAGTTTTGTGACTTCTATCAGTGTCCAGCAGAGCGCTTGGTTACAGCTTGTAGGAGAAGTTTTCATTCTCCCCTGATTGTCCTATGAGGCTTCAGGACCCCTGACCCTCTGTGTGGACAGTTTTGATTGGCCCTCTGCTGATCACATGCACTCTCCCACGAAAAAAAACAAAACTCTCTAGCAATACACACCAAACGGAGCATGTGCAGCTTGCCCCAAGGATCTGTTTTACGAGCAGATGGATTGGGGACAGTAGAAAAAGGGGAGGATCCCCTTGTTGTTTTTAAACAATGTGGAGAATTAACCCCTTAGGCTCCACAGTGAGTATAACAAGCATGCTTTACTGCATATACAGACTGATTTTACTGTTATGGGTTTAGTAACACTTTAAGGGTTTTAACTGAAAGAACACCTCTTCAGACCAGGAGTTTGCTTAGAAAGTTCTTCTGTTTTCTTCTCTCATCATTTTTATTTGAAACTCTCCCTAATAATTACTTATCCTTTGTTTTTAGGGGTTGACACTCAGCAAAGCAGCAGAGATTTTAGCCCGGGATGGACCCAATGCTTTGACTCCCCCTCCAACTACACCCGAGTGGATCAAGTTTTGCCGCCAGCTCTTCGGAGGTTTCTCCATCCTGCTGTGGATCGGAGCTATCCTTTGTTTCCTGGCCTATGGCATCCAGGCGGCTACAGAGGATGACCCCGCAGGTGACAATGTGAGCACATCTATTTTTCTTATATGCAATAAAAAATTCAGTCAAACTCTGCGCTAATGAAAAGCATAAAAACGTTTCTTAGTGAAAAAACTATTTTTCGAATATTTCAATGCAACAAAACCAATCCTCAAAATCATATAAAAGGAAAGCTGCCTACACAAATATCCACATACAGATATTTCAAAATACTAAATGGCGCTCATCTAAGGCGCTATCCTTAAAAATCACACAATATACGTTTATAGAAGTGCTGTCCCTTTAAATGCCCAACAAAGACCAATGTGATAATTTTAAACACTATTATCCACAAAAATATTCCCAAAAACAAGTCCATGCAGAAAGTGCATTCATTACACAAGAGTTGATATTTTCCCATGCCAGGACACCAATTATTTGGATCTAACACTGCCACCAGAAAAACTCCTTACCTTACAGTCTAACGCACGGATAGTCAAACTGGCAGCCCTACAGCTGTTGCCAAACTACAAATCCCATGAGGCATTGCAAGACTGACAGTTACAAGCATGACTCCCAAAGGCAGAGGCATGATGGGAATTGTAGTTTGGCAACAGCTGGAGGGCCACCAGTTTGACACCCCTAGTCTAACCCCTTTAATAATGGAGGTCAGAAAGCGCTCATCATATAAATAAATTCCACAAACCACAGATTCCTTGGTCCAGACCCACACGGATTTTTCCCAGAGATCACATGAATGGTTCACAGGGATTATTATTATTATTATACAGTATTTATAAAGCGCCAATAGTTCGCTCAGCGCTGTACATAACAAAGGAGGACAGAACATGTGACAGAACAATACCAATACAATGCAAAACATGAGAGGATCGAGGGCCCTGCTCTTTCGAGCTTTACAATCTAGGAGGGAGGGGATGGTGGCACAGGAGGAGAAAGCTGTGGGGGATGGAGTGGTAGGGAGAGTGGAGGAGGTCAGCAGGTTAGCAGGGGGTGGGGTAGGCTTCCCTGAAGAGATGGGATTTCAGGGTGCGCCTAAAGGAGAGGAGAGTAGGTGATAATCTGATGGGTTGGGGCAGGGAGTTCCAGAGGATGGGTGACACCCTGGAGAAGTCCTGGAGGCAGGCATGGGAGAAGGAGACCAGGGAACTAGAGAGAAGGAGGTCTTGTGAGGAGCGGAGTGTGCGTGCTGGGTGATACTTGGATATTAGGTCAGTGATGTAGTTCGGGGCAGTATGGTGGACAGCTTTGTACGTCAGTGTTAGGATTTTGAATTTGATCCGTTGCGCAATCGGAAGCCAGTGGAGGGATTGGCAGAGTGGGATGGCGGAGATGGAGCGGTTGGAAAGGTGAATGAGTCTGGCAGCCGTATTCAGGATCGACTGAAGCGGGGATAGCCAGCGGCGAGGCAGGCCAGTGAGGAGGGAGTTGCAGTAGTCGAGTCGTGATATGATGAGGGAGTGGATGAGCTGTTTTAGGGGTTTCTGGGGTTAGGAACGTGCATATTTTGGCGATGTTGCGGAGGTGGAGTCTGCACGAGTTTGTTAAAGATTGGACTTGGGGCTGGAAGGATAGGTTGGAGTCCAGAATGACACCAAGTACTCTGGCCTGCGGGGCGGGTTTGATGGTGGCGTTGTTGGATGTGACGGAGAAGTCAATGGGGGGTGATGTCCGGGCTGGGGGGAAAACAAGAAACTCAGTTTTGGAGAGGTTCAGTTTAAGGAAGTGGAGCGACATCCAGTCTGATATGTCGCTCAGTAGGTGTGTGATTCGAGCGGAGACCAAGGGGGTGAGGTGGGGGGGGGGTTGAGAGATAGATTTGTGTGTCGTCGGCATAGAGGTGGTAGTTGAAGCCGTGAGAGTGTATGAGTTGGCCAAGGGAGGAGGTGTAGATTGAGAAGAGAAGGGGCCCGAGGACAGAGCCTTGAGGGACCCCAACAGAGAGGGGGAGAGAGGGGGAGGTGGTAGCATTATAGGTAATGCTGAAAGAGCGTTGTGACAGGTAGGATGAGAGCCAGGAGAGAGCAGAATCTCTGAGGCCAAGGGAGTGTAGTTTTTTGAGGAGGAGGGGGTGGTCGACTGTGTCGAAGGCCGCAGAGAGGTCAAGGAGTAGGAGCACTGAATAGTGACCATTAGCTTTGGCGGTTAGCAGGTCGTTGGAGAGTTTGAGTAAGGCAGTTTTGGTGGAGTGTAGGGGATGGAAGCCGGACTGTAGGGGATCGAGGAGGTTGTTTTCATTGAGGTGAGAGCTTCGGCGGGTGTAGACTAGGCGCTCGAGGAGTTTAGATGTAAATGGGAGCAGGGAGATGGGTCTGAGGTTGTTCGGGTCATTGGGGTCCAGGGAGGGCTTTTTAAGTATGGGGGTGATGTGTGCATGTTTCAGAGGGGAGGGGAAAGTGCCGGAGGAGAGGGAGAGATTAAAGATGTGGGTGAGGGAGCGTAGGATGGAGGGGGAGGGAGGTCGTAGGAGTTGTGAGGGGATAGGGTCTAGGGGGCAGTTGGTGAGGCGGCATCAGAGAGGATCTTGGAGACTTCCTCGATGGTAGTAAGGTCAAAGGTGCGGAGTGTTGGGGGGGCTTCAGTATGAGGAATGTAGGGTGGGGTGGAAGTGGAGGTCAGAGCAGTGGTGGGGCCGTGGGAGAGGGGTGATGAGGGGGTAGCTGAGTGAGGGGGAACGGGGTTGGAGGGATTTTGAGCAGCGACGAAGTCCCTGCGGGTTATGTTGAGGGAGAGGGGAGATGAGGGGGTAGCTGTGTGAGAGGGGACGGGTTGAGAGGGCGTGTGAGTTGCGGCAATGTCCTTGCGAATTGTGTCAATGTGATCACAGAGTCTTGCTCCAGATCAGTTTTTCTGGCTTCACAACACGAACCATAGAATCAAAAAGCAAGCACACTGCACATAGAGTAATACAGCAACCAATAATACCAACCAGAAGGGAGCTTAAAGTTTTTTTCCTGGGAATAGCAAGAAATGGATGATTTGTGAGTGAAGTGGAATGACATGGACACTTTGTTTTATATATTGATTGTAATATTATACAGTATGTTGATTGTAATATATGAGCATGCTCCGCACACCCTGGGAGCCATCCATGTGGGTCTAGAGCAAGGAATCTATGGTTCATGGAAATCATTTATATGACAAGAAGTGCTATCTGACCTCCATTATTAACCCCCCTGGTGGTATTCCCGAGTGTAGCTCAGGGTTAACTTTCAGTACCAGAAGCGGTAACCCCCAGCTACACTCGGGATTACCCCGCAGCATTGCTCAGGGATCCCTCCTATTGTTTAAAATGATCACATTGGTGTTTAAAAAGGGACAGCACTTACAGAAATGTATATTTTGTGATCTTTAAGGATAGCACCTTACTTGAGAGATATTTATCTTTCTTATATGTGTATGTATCCAGGGTTGCACCAACATCCCTAAATATACAAATAGTCAAAATAGTTTCCTTAAACACAAGACTTTAGAAGTGCCTAACAATGCAATTCACATACAGTACCATACTATTAAAATTCATCCATTTATTGTAAAGCTATTAAGACATACTGTATGGCGTATTTTAAAAGAAAAGATCACACAGGTGGCACAAACACCTATTGCATTATCCAAGTTTTATTGAAAAGTAAAAAAGACAAAAACATACTCACAGACAAAGCATGTGTGTAGAGCTTTGTATTATAATAGAGATGGCCACAACAACAATAGGCAGGGTGTTTCCGACTGTCAGTGTGGTCGTCTTACTGATGCGTTTCGGGGACGAATCCCTTTCCTCAGAGCTAATGGCAATTTGTTAATGCATTTCGGGGACAAATCCCTTTCCTCAGAGCTAATGGCAATTTACTGACGCATTTCGGGGATGAATCCCTTTCCTCAGAGCTAAGGGCAATTTGCATTAGCTCTGAGGAAAGAGATTCACCCCAAAACGCGTCAGGAAAGCCATCCACACTGACAGTAGGAACACCCTGCCCATTGTTGTGGCCATCTTTATTATCATACAAAGCTCTACACACATGCTATGTCTGTGAGTATGTTTTCGTCTTTTTTACTTTTTAATAAACCCTGGATAATGCATTAGGTGTTTGCGCCACCTGTTTGCACTTTTACAGTTGTTGATTTCCCTGTCTGAGGAGGGCTGCATCTCCGAAATGCTATCCATAGGCCACCTTTAGGCCTGGTGCCCCTGGCCTTCCTTTGGCAATTGATTCCCGGAGCTCTGGAGAGTACATACTATTGTCCAATATGGCGTATTTTGCCTAACAACACTTCTGTTTCATGTGTACAAACATATGATGAATGAAGATTTTCATGTATACAAACATGTAATACATAAACATTCTACATGTTTCACAACATATCGTTATTTGCCCCACCTTACACAATGTAACTTGACTTCTTGATTTTTTCCGAAGGTTAACGCTGTGAGATAAAGTCTTGCTGAGGAGAGTAGAATGATATATCACAATGCATTTTGTGGGTCTCAAATCCCACTTCTTCAGGTTCTGTGAAACTATAGACAACAATTAGGAACCATTCCAGCAAAAATACGATTAATGTACAGTATATATTACATTCTTTTATAATAACCTATACCTTTTATTAAATGAACTCAAAAAATTGGGATCAGGAGCCTGGGAACCCCCAGACACACCTCGACTCCCCCCGGAAGGAGGACCAACTGTTCACTGGAGAATTTGTTTGAATAGAAAGAGCAAAGGGTAGGTGCTCCATTTTTTTTTTCAAGCAGAATTCGCATCAGCAGCTCAATGAATGAACTGGGGGGGGCATGGTATGGCAGTGATCCAATATGGCCGCTTAGCCTAGGAGCTCCTGCCAGCTGAGGATCTGCATCCCTGACAGATGGAGGAATGGGTGAGCGCAGTAGTGCCACAACATGGGGAAAGCGGACTAGAACACCCCCGGTTCCCGATCCTGCTCTCCCCGGGTTTCTAACACGCAGCAGTCCTGACATATTACGGAGCTCTTCCACTCCCAGCAGAGGGACACACCAATGCCATCTTCCTCCCCTCCTTCTCCAGCAGCATCAGCATGCATGCAGAGCCCTGTGAACAGGGGCGGACTGACCATTCGAGCACTCAGGCACTGCCTGAGGGCCATGGGTCAGTAGGGGGCCCTATGAGATGCCCCTGGTACTTTTCATTGGCTGTTTCATAGGCTTTTTTGGGTGTGGGCGAGGACACATGATCTCCTATTGCCCGGGGGCCCCATGAGTAGTCAGTACGCCCCTGCCTGTGAGAGATAACATGCTGCAGCATGATCTCTGCTCAGAGACCCACACCCTCTCCCTGAGGGACCTCCAAGCAGTGGCTGCTGACATAAAAGATACATTACCCACAGCCCTAACAGACCTACGTAGTGACCTACAAACACTGGGCAACAAATTAGAAGGAGTTGAACTTACTACCAGAAAGCAAGCGGACACTATACAACAGATACAACAAGTGACCACATCTCATTCGCAACATATCCGTGACTTCTATAGGCACCTAGAAGAACTGGATAATCGCAGACGCAGACATAACATCAGAATATGCGGTCTACCAGAAGCTGTAGAGCCGGGTGACATCCCTAATGCTGTGGTGGCAATCTTCAACGACCTGCTAGGCTGCCCACCTGCAACTCCCATTGAAATGGAACGCGTACATAGATCTGTCCACCCCAGGTGCAGAAACAGTGACCCCCCACAAGACACTGTCTGCTGTCTTGTTAGTTTCCCACTCAAAGAAGACATCTTAAGACGCGCTAGAGAGAAACGGTGCCTTTTACATTGTGGAACTGAAATTCAGTTATTTCTAGATCTTTCCAATCTAACTTTGCAACAAAGAAGGGAAACTTTGTCCCCTGCTGGACTCTTTTCGCTCCCGAAACATTCCCTACAGATGGCAATTCCCTTTTTGCCTCTCGGTCCAGTCTCATGGCCATACAGCCTATCTGAGGGTTCTGGAAGACTTGCCTAACTTTTGCACCACTTTTTACATTCCAGTGATTGATGAATGAACTAGAGAGTTTCTGGGATGGATTTACTAAAGGCAAATAGACTATGCAAGTGCTGTTGCTCCAGAGCTTATTAAAGGATAAGTACACCTTTGGAATATATTAGGTTCCACCCAGGGGCGGACTGACAACTCATGGGGCCCCCGGGCAATAGGGGATCATGGGGCCCCTGCGTCCTTGCCCAAACTCAAAAAAAAGCTATGAAAAAGGTACCAGGGGCATCTCATGGGGCCCCCTACTGACCCCGGGCCCTCGGGCAGTGCCCAAGTTTCCTAATGGTCAGTCCGCCCCTGGTTCCACCTATTTTTAGGGTGGAACATGTGACATGTGCCCATAGCCGCAGCAGCGACCGCCGCCCCTCCCCTCTGACAGATAGCATGGGGAGAAGTTTCCTCGTACTATCTGTCAGATTTGAAAACAGCATGGTTGTGCGGGGCTCCGCCCACATGGACGCATCAGTCAATTCTGTGAATAAGTGCCTTCACGTCCCAGGAGCCTTAGCATCTGTGGGCTTGTAGTTTTCAATGAACTACCATGGCGCTGTGTCAGAATATCTCCTTGACCGTACATCCCATACATCCTGTACGGCTAGCAGATATTCTGACAGGTCTACAGGAGACCCACATGGCATCACTGATCTACTGATCACTGGTGCAATGCTTTATAGGCTTCTTTGGACAAAAATAATTTGAATTGCAAAAAAATGTGCATTTATTATTTTTGTCCAAAAGGTGAACATAGCCTTTAAATGAGATGAAGCTTCAATTTGGAAAGCATACCCAATCACATTCAATGAAAATTAAAAAAAAAACATCAATTTTGCTTACACAAGATTGGATGATGGAAGTCAGCAGAGCTACCAATCCTTTATTAAGCTCTGGAGCAGCTGCACTTGCAGAGTACACAGTCTATTTGCATTGCAGAGTACACAGTCTATTTGCCTGCAGAGTACACAGTCTATTTGCCGTTAGTAAATCCACTGCACATTTTCAGCAAAGTTAGTAATTTTGTGGCAAAATCAGTGTAGCCAAGTCCCTCAACTCATTTCTAGTCATTAAGGTAAAATAGTTCAAGCACCCAAACTATAATTTACATGTTTTAAGAGTTCCAAATTAGACATCCCATAGTAGTCATGTAAAATATCCAGCTGCTTTGGATTTCATTGCTGCTATTTTTTTTTTTTTTTTTCATTTTTTTAAAAGATTGAGAGTCTACATGGCCAATCGGAGTCAACTGGGACAGTATGTCTGCCTCTCGTTGGTCACTAAACATTTTGGCAGCCTGCCTGACCTCTATTGAGCCGGTAACAGAGTCTGGTTCCCTAATCTCCCTTTCTAGCTCTGCTCACTCATTTCTAGAGGAATTATTTTAGGAAAAATATAGAACCACCTGTTCCTGGACATCCAATATTAGTAACTGGTTTTAATCTTCATTGAATGGACAACAAAAACCTGGTGATATAAACATTTGTTTTAGCATATTTTTGCAGTAGGACAGAACAGCTGGAGGACAGGCACAGCTTAAATCTTCATCTGGTGGTTTAATACATTTTCGAGTCTAGCATTGCTAAAGGTTACTGGCACAGAAGGTGGGTTGCCATGGGCTAATTTACTTAAATACTGTAAATCTGTTCTGAGAAAAGAAATACGGTGCTGCAGTTGCTGACTTGTTTTGAAGAGAAACTGTCACTTTGCCCATTTAGGTGTCTGTGAAAATCCCCCCACCCCCCCAAAAAAAAATATACTGATGCATATCTTCACAGCTATCCCCTTATACTTCTTTCTCCAACACAGCCAGCACCAAAATACCCATTGTAGGCTGATGTTAGGGCCTACAGGGAGTTCTGGCCACTAGACCTAAGCATTGTCATATGGGGCAAGTTACATGCTCTTCCATACACATAATTGCTGAGTATTTTTACCATGGCTGAGATGGAGGAAAAATTGGTGGGGAATTGTCCTGAGTATCATTTGTTCAGGAGTAGTAATGATCTAAAACTCGAGCCAAACCTGCTGGAGGCTCCCCTATGGCTCATCATTAGTCAGAAGGGACTTTTTCACTTTGCTTTAAATGGGTGTTCAGTAGGGTTGACGTCAAGGCTTTATACAAGCAGCTTGCTTTCCTCCACATCAAACTCCTCAAACCATGTCTTTATGTTACTGATGTTGGAAGTGAAGACCTGGCATTATCCCACTGTCACTTTGCCTTAAATGGGTGTTCAGTAGGGTTGACGTCAAGGCTTTGTACACGCAGCTTTCTTTCCTCCACATCAAACTCCTCAAACTATGTCTTTATGTTACTGATGGTGGAAGCGAAGACCTGGCATTATCCCACTGTCACTTTGCCTTAAATGGGTGTTCAGTAGGGTTGACGTCAAGGCTTTGTACATGCAGCTTGCTTTCCTCCACATCAAACACCTCAAACCATGTGTTTATGTTACTAATGTTGGAAGAGAAGACTGTCACTTTGCCCTAAATGGGTGTTCAGTAGGCTTGAGGTCAGGGTTCTGTGTAGGCCACTCAAATTCCTCCACACCAAACTCATCAAGCCATGTCTTTGTGAAGATGACTTATTGCACAGGGGCACAGTCATACTGGAACAGAAAATAGTGTTCCCCAAACTGTTACTACAAGGTTGGAAGAGTGCAATTATCTAAAATGTCTTTGTATACTGCAGTAACAATACCTTCCTTGGAAATCCAATAATTTGGGAGTGTCCACATTCTCATGGTCATATAGGATGTCCACTTTATCTGGGCCAAAGTTATCTAAACTCAGTTTTTTCAACATCTTTCCAATTCGTTGTTTCTATGCAAAGGTAGATATTACTACGTATTATAGTGAACAAGGATTACAAGATAAAGAGATAACAAGATAACCACTTTTGCAAATTACAGTTTTCCCATGTAAGGTCATAGTTATCTGGTCTTCCCATTTCTGTGCAATTCACTAATCTATTCATCTGTGTGCACACCCTGGAGCTATAACAATTTTAATAAGTCAGTGCTGCTAGGAGTAGCAATTGGTTGTTAAACAGATTAAACAAGTTGATCCCTATTCTGGAAATTACACAAGTAACTAGGCCTGTAGGCCTGTAGTAGTAGGCCTGTAGTAGGCCTAAATCTCACATTATGACATGTGCATGAATCCTTTGAAAATGATTGCTACTACATGATAATGCATGCAACTTGGATAGCTTACCCAAGTTCCAAGCCCTTTGTTCCATCTGTTTAACAAGCAATTCTACTTCTTGCAATTTTGCGCTAGCAATTTTGAAGTGTGATTGTGCTACTGGAAAACTCCAGCCTTATGCACACAAGCAGATGGGTTAGACTCATGGTATACTGACACAACAGAACATTTGTAATTTGTAAGTCAAATGATAAATCTGACTTTTTCTGTTGGACATCTTTGATGAATTTCATGGGAATTCATTAACCCAGTCTCAAGAATAGTGATGTATAAAACTTATTGCCATTTTGCCATTTCTCTTTCAGTTGTATCTGGGTATCGTGTTGGCTGCAGTCGTCATCATCACTGGCTGCTTTTCTTACTACCAGGAGGCCAAGAGCTCGAAGATCATGGAATCCTTCAAAAACATGGTGCCCCAGGTGAGTACGATGGTATCTATGTAGTCACAATCTTTCAGCTCATAGCTCTCTTAACGTATGCTTTCTACATCTATATATCTACAGTAATTAATAATGTGATACTGAATGTGTTCTATTTGCAATTTTTTCCACTGATACTCTTTTCATTCATGGTAACTTTCATTTCTGGATGTTACGTGTTGCGAAGGTCTCTAAGAACTTGTCAAAAGTGGTCACTTGAGCTTTATCAAAAGGGATCTTATACCAGTTTAAGGAGTCAATAACAATATTTTTCTGGGTTTTGAGGCACAAAAGTGCATTTTACATACTAGCTTGCACTTTATTTCACTTTGGGGTATTCTGCAATCTCTGCAGGAAACTATAAATATGTAGAGGGACTCTTCCACCAGTTCAGCGTGTTGAGTAGGTGCAGTTTGGTGTGGCAGGCAGTAAGCACACAGAGTCCTGATTTGCAAAAGGTGATGTATTGTAAAAGTAATTCAACAGTACCGTCAGTCCTGGCAGGTAGGCTCATCTGAACAGGAACACTCACAGGATTGCAGTGCAGCAACAGCAACAGGAAGAATCAGTGATGCCAACAGCATCTGCCACGAGTACTGGTGTGTGGCCTAGCTGGTCTAACCCAAAGGGAAAGCTTCCTGAGAAGGTTGACATAGTCCCTGCCAGGGGCGGACTGACCATTTGGAAACTTGGACACTGCCCGAGGGCCCGGGGTCAGTAGGGTGCCCCATGAGATGCCCCTGATACCTTTTCATAGGCTTTTTTGAATTTGGGCAAGGACACAGGGGCCCTATGATCCCCTATTGCCCAGGGGCCCCATTATTTGTCAGTCCGCCCCTGGTCCCTGCTCTTTCCCTACTCCTCCGGAACCTTCCCCTATCGCTAGCACTCTCCCTGACAAATGGGGAAACTGTCCCTACTGTAGCTACTCACATAAAGCATGCCAAAACCCAGGTTCTAAGTCTTCAATAGACCCATAATGGCTGCCTGGGTCACATGGGACCAAAACATCCAACCAGATCACTGACCTGTGTGACTCAGAAACCACGTTTTCCTCCATTTCCTCTCCCCGCTGCATTGCCAATCCACCTGCAGTGGAGACTACAGACTGCACCTGCCTACAAGTGAATCTTTCCTAGTAAAAATGCAGGGCCTGTATCCTTCTAAAATCTGGCTGGTTGGCAGTTATGCAGACCCCTGGCTTTAATACTTCATCACTGACCTACAAGTATGCATATCAAAAACATTTGATTTTTCAAAGTGATTTTTTTTATGTGATCTTCAAATTTGTACATGTTTGTTCTTCCATATTTTGATATGATATTAAATTAAGAAATTTACAGTTTGCCCACTAGAGGGAGCTCTGTATTTGACTCAATCACCCCATCTGCCTAACACCTGTAGAGACATCAGCTGCACAGGGAGAGCATTGTCTTCAATGACTATGCCAAATCATAACTTTGCATTGTGAGCAGTGAAGAGCTTTAGGAGCAGTGGAGCTCAACCATTGTGTAGCTTTGTAAATCAGGGGAAAGGGCCTCCATAGAAATTAAGCAAATATGACTACCCTATGTACATGCTGTATATAATCGATATATATAAATGGCAAATT